TTTTTTAGTTGTAAATGGACATGATACCTTTATTTGTTTTTATTTTTATGTGGTGCTGGGGATCAAACCCAGTGCCTCAAACATCCTAGGCAAGCACTCTACCACTGAGCCACAACCCCCACCCACTTTATTTTATTTTTATGTGGTGCTGAGGCTCAAACCCAGTGCCTCACAAAGGCTAGGTGAGCACTCCACCTCTGAGCCACAACCTCAGCCCTACAAGAAATACTGATACCTAAAATGTAATGGTCTCATACCCTATGGGGGCTTACTTTTTAAAAATATTTATTTATTTTTAGATGTAGATGGATATAACACAATGCCTTTATTTTTATGTGGTGCTGAGAATCGAACCCGGGTCCTGCTCTTGCTAGGCGAGCGCTCTACCACTGAGCCACAATCCCAGCCCCTATGGGGGCTTATTGATCTGACTTAATTCAGCATGTGCTGGCCAGATTATTGGACAAATCTGCTCCACGTATTTCACACATTTGTAATGCAGGAACAACTGTATCTGGTACCACTGTGTAAAGATTTTGGGTAGCCACTGATATTAGGTAAATGGTATGGTAATGCAATGTGGATGCAAGGTTAGGGCCTCCACAGCAAAAACAGTTATGTGTGGTGCAACCACTAAATGAGAAAATTTTCAGAATTTGAGCAAGTACAAAAAAACTAAAAATAAAAAATATGACAGACTCAGTTAAAATGAAACTATCAGGTGGCCCAAATTCTGCAGACTTCCACAGAACTCATTTGCCTAACAGTAATATATAAATTTTAACTGATTCACTTTTATCTAAGTTTCTACTCAGAGCTTGATTAACTGAAACAACAGTTAAATGACATTACATTCTTTATAGTCACCTCTCCAATTTCAGTATCTGCATGCCAAAATACAGAGTCACATAGAAACTGTGTGTGCTGAGGAATACCACTAAATTTTCTCAAAAGGATAGAATTCAACTTTTCTTTAATAGTGGATAGGAACATTTCCTTGGTTGCTTGGTTGTGTATTCTGTGAGGGCAAATCCACTGGCACCTGAGGTGGCTTAGAACATAAATCTACATTAGGAGTAAAGGAAATACAGAGCTAAAAGTTTTGCTTTAATCACAAATTCACAACTAGATATGTCACTTGAATATATTAGAAAGTTAAAAAGACATGTTAAATTTTTCTAACCAATTAGCAAAAATATGTCAAATTTTTAATGTTTAGAATTTATCACATAAATATTTATAAATATGTCCTTTATTTGCAAAATTATTCTTAAAACATTTTAACACATTTAAATTGTCTTTTAAGGAAAAAATACCACCCTATTTAAAAACATACTAATAAACTTTAATGTCTAATTATACCAGTGCCACCAGATTAAAAAAAAAAAATGTACCGCTGTAGTAATACATGCTCTTTTTTCACTTATCAGTCATTATCAGAACCATTTGGAGGTAAGAAAATCAATGCATCATTGAAAAGATGTCCAAATGCCCTAAGACGGTATACCCCATACATCATCACATGCATCTGATTAGGAGTTAGTCCATTAAAAGTAACAGCCATATCTGAACAACATCCTTCTACTACCTGGTTGGGATGATTAGTCATTGCTTCTTTAATAGAAAGCCCAACAGATTTGGTATTAAATACATCTTTTCCGTCTGCATCTTCTGCGTTTTCTGCAAACACTCCAGCATATTTCAGGCAGACTGCTAGCTGCTTATCTTCAGATATCTTCCAAATCATTCCTCCCTGTTCAGGACACTTTTCAGGGATATTCAGAAGGCTGTTAAGTCTTTTCATTGATTCTATACTTAAGACAATTCCTCCTTCCACACTCACATATTCAAGGTCTCCAGATTTTATAGTGTGACCTATATAGAAAGGTTGTGATGGATCCTTTTTTAACAAAAAATACTTTCGATTTTCAACCATACAAATGTAGTGGGGCGCACAAGGAAGAACCAGTTGTATTGGTCGCCATACTTATCAAAGATGTATTTGTAAGCTTTTCTCATCACTAACCAACCACATGTCACTTGTTTCCATATTAATTGACTCAAATACTTTAACATTTTCAGAACTGAAGAACTCTGCTTTGTCACAGTGTTTGGTCCAAGTGTCCTTCACTGCAGCCCAAAGACTCACATCTTTGGGTTTTACAAGGATGATGCAATATACCCGAAAGCTCTTACTGAGCTCCATGCGTTCATCCTCTGAAATTTTCAAGATATCTTCTTTGTTAGGAGCTTGTAGGTGATGATGCTCATGGTGATGCATTCTATTTCCATGACCAATTCCAATGTGTCCTAGAATAGTGATCAAAGCACAGAAAATGCTTCCGAGCATCACACCCTTCAAAAATGAACTGCTTTCAGAAAGCATTTTTCCTATAAAGAAGAAAAAGACCCTTAAAACACTTAGTCTAGTCATTTGGTTTGGTATTACTTTATTCTGACATTTTGCTCTTAATGCTAAAAAAAAAAAAAAAAAAAAAAATCCCAAGCTTGAAATCAATTTAGTTGCAGTCAGTATTAAGCACTTTCAGAATCTTTAGTTTTCAATGGTATCTGACTTCTATTCAGTATAGAATATAATTCTGCAGAAATTCCTCTATGGAGGATTTGCTGTGGGAAGGTTATTTTTGTACTTTATCTATAAGGATTTAATTAACCAAGCATTAAATCGAGGTATTAGCCCTGGAAACCAATGTTACAGAGGTTATCTGTCCATCATTCTTTAAATAATTTTGTACCCCAATCTTGCACTATATTATTTAAGTACCTCTGAAGATATAAATGGACTTTTAGATCAATACTTTAGATTGAACAGATAAATCACCTATAATTGGCAAATCACCAATGGCATCTGTGCTAACATTTCTCTTTTCAACCTTTGCTTTGTTTAACTGATGGGTAATGTCTTATGTGTTTTGAGTACATCTAAATCAAGTTTCTTGAGATTGATAGATTTCAATGTATATTGTTAATGTTTACCCTCCCGTTCCTAAGATTATGGGTTTCCAATAAGTCATCCCAGCCATTTTCTTTCTGAGAAAAAGGAAAAAGTTTGATTGCTTTGCTAGCAAAGGAGAAACAGGAGACTCCTGTCCCAGAGGTTGTGATTCGCCTCATCCCAACTAATGATGGAATAAAAGCCCCCAATGAAAATGAAGCTATCTAGATGAAAAAATGAATAAATATAGGCATAGGGATCATTGATAAACATTAGTACTTCCTCAAAAGGCATTTTCTTCTTTGGGGAAGTAAAATGGGAAAAGTCTACACATACATTTCAATTAGAAATTAAAAGAAAACATTAAATATAACTACTGAGAAAACTGTATGCACACGTCTATGCTACCAAAGGCTGAAAATTCCCCCAATCTCTTCTCTATCTCCACAAAATACTCTAGTGAGCTATTTAGATTTCCCCCTTGTTTCTCAAAGTTGAAAGGAACCTTAGAAGGTACATAATGGCATTTTTCTCATTTTACAGATAGGAAATGGAGGACTGCACGGTTAAGTAACCCAAACTTACAAAGCTAGTCAGTGTTAGCAGACTAGAACTCAGATCTCCTGACCTGTTTAATTCTTTTTCAATTAAAGACTAATAATCTAAACAATGCTTCTACCATATTATTGAGAATTTAATAAATGAGTTCCTGAATAACCTTGTTTTCCTATAAATTTAAAAAATGTGGCATCTAATGACTTTAAAAATTTTTTTTGTTGTAGATGGACACAATACCTTTTTATTTTATTTATTAATGGGGTGCTCAGGCTCAAACCCAGTGCCCCATGCATGCAAGGTAAGTGCTCTACCACAGAGCCACAACCCCAGCCCTCTGATGACGTTTTACACCCAACACCACCACACTGCTACAAGGAAACCATTCCCATGGTTTTCTTCTAAAGGAAATGGACTTTGACTGCTATCAGGCCAAGGTGTGGAATAGATTAGTAGATGTAATTCCTGAGTGTGAGGTAGGGAAAGAAGAAGGATGTTGGTTCTCTTGTATCATTCACAGAACTTGATCAATAAACAATTCCAAGAAGTGAGAAGCAACAAAAAACAAGGTCTGCTTAATTAAAGAATTGTCAGATACACTCTAAACTTAATTTATATAGGATTTTGGCATTTTGTATTACACAGTTTTCATTTGGCCAATATATGCTAATTCACATGCCTCTTGCTTGATTATGGCATACGTGTGTCGGAATTCTTCTTGGTGGGGACCCTACTTCTGGCTGAGAAAATATTAATTAAAACGCAATAAATCTACAAATTTTACAAGATTATTTTCACCAATTATTTCAGGATTTTTTTTCCTATTTGGGGAGGCAAAAAAAAAAAAGTAACACTGGGGGCTGCACAGGATAGGAATTTTTTAACATGACAGACGGAAACTTAAAACTGCGCACGGAAACAAGGCAAAAACTACCCAAGTGGTAGTTTTAGAAGGTAAAGGTGGGTGAGGTGGATTATGTAAAAGGGAGGACCACAAAATGCAGAAGTGAGGAGTAGGACAGGGTCACCCCAAGACCCCATGTTAGTGCTAAGGGAGTGCCACCAAGAAGGTGGCTCTCCATCTCTCTAACTCACTGGTCCTCCCTCAGCACCTGCCCGGGCATCCCGCATAGAGCATGCTGGGAACAAGCTAGGGCCCAGGCCTCCCCCGGAGAAACGGAGGGGGCCAGCCGCTCCGGGGTGAGTTTGGGGTGGGGAGGTAGACCTTGGCACTCACCCGTGTCTAGAATGGCTTGGGGATAGGAAGGCACGGCTTCCTTTCACGTTCTTGCTACTCAGTCCCGCTCCTAGCCGGGCTGCTCTAGACGCTGGCGGTGTCCTCTCGTTGGTATAGCTAAAGGTGGGGAGATCAAGGAAGCCGACGCTCCGAAGGAGGGGGGCGAGGCAGAGGAACTCTGCGCCAGGCGGAGGGGCCGCCTTCCCACGCAGACGTCGAAAAGGTCGGCGCGCACGCAGCGTGCCTTTTCTCCCCGCCCCTCGTCGAGTTCAGAGAAACGCGCAGGGCTGGAGTGACCTTAACGTTCATCAGTACCCAATGAGACGCCCAGAGAAGCGTGAGTGCGTACAACTCGATGACACCTCCCACTTCTTCTCTACCCTGCTGAATGGCTGCCCCGGCCCCGAAGAGCTTTGCTTCCTGCTGCGCTAGTTTCACTCTTTTAGATGGTTTCTCTAAAGTTCCCAGCTTCTTTTACCCTTTTGTCGACCAGAGAGTGCTCCACACTGTATACCCGGGCTCAGATAAAAATGCAGGCCATTAAAATAGTAATTCAATTCTAGAATAAGGATTCACAGTTGTTATTGGAATGGGGTTTTAAGTCGCTCTGCCTGGAATCCAATCCTGTCGTCCCGTCTTTTGATAACCTGGGAAAGTTACTTCACCTCGTTATGCTTTGGTTTCTTTTGTAAAGTTTGGTTGCTGTATATGTGTGTGTGTTTTCCTAACTTTTTTCAATACTGAGGATGGAGCCCATGGCCTTGCATTGGCTAGGCAAGCACTCTGACCTTGAGCTAAATCCCCAACCACTTTCTAGTAATGTTTGGAAAATAACACAAAAGTGTCTATTTTATAGAAGATTATGAGTTTGATTCCCTTAGCAAAAGTTCAAGTGTAGAGTAAGCATTTATTAAATCCCTAGCACTTAAGCTAGTGCCAGCATGCAGTTGACAGTACATATTTGTAGAGTTAATGTAGGAACTACAGACGAGGAACCAGGCCCACAATTACTAAGTAACTTTTGAAAGGCCACCAATAAAATAACTGCAGAGATGGGACTAGAATCCAGGGCTCCTAATTAAGAGTGCAAACTCCCTTTTCACTAAATATGTGATCTGTCTTTTAAAATTCACTTTTTGGGCTGGGGATGTGGCTCAAGCGGTAATGCACTCGCCTGGCATGCGTGCGGCCTGGGTTCGATCCTCAGGACCACATACAAACAAAGATGTTGTGTCTGCCGAGAACTAAAAAATAAATATTAAAAAATTAAAAAAAAATAAAATAAAATTCACTTTTGTGCTCCACGTGGCATGTCTGTAATCCCAGCAACCCATGAGGCTGAGGCAGGAGAATCACAAGTTCAAAGCCAACCATTGCAATTTAGGGAGACCCTGTCTCAAAATACAAAATAAAATAAATAAATTAAGAAAGGGATGTGAATCAGTAGTTAAGTGCCCCTGGGTTCAATCTCTAGTACAAAAAGATTCACTTTACTATATATAACTATATGTGTGTATGTGTGTGTGTGTGTGTGTGTGTGTGTAAAAGTGCACTGTCACTAGATCCCATTCAAATAACACTGAGTGTAGACTTAGCCGGATTTCCTAAAATCATATATATATGGGACTATATATATATCTCGAAGTGATCCAGTTTAAGCAGACTGAAAGATTCAGGGAACAATGAAACAATGAACAAATAGATTATAAGCAATTACTATCCTGGCAGCACTACCCTAAATTCTGGGGCTATAATGTTAAAATAAGTTTCCTGCCTTCATAGAGCTCTCAGTCTGGCAGAGAAGAAAGACATTAAACAATTCATTACAATGGTGGGATGTACACTAAAGGAACACACACAAAAAATGAAGTCTAAGACTAGAAAGAAACTTAAGACTACAGAATATCTCCATTGTATACTCTGGTTTCTCTTCAAATTGTAGAAATCTTTTGTCTTTACTGAAAATTTCCGTGGAGATGAGAAAATTTTAAACCAGGTTTTGAGGCCTTGTTTCAGCAAGGCAACATTAAAAAGAATATCTCCATTATATTTTGTTAATGTATGTATATTGTTTTATGTCACAGGGATTGAACCCAAGGGTGCTTAAACACTGAGCCACATCCCCAGCCCTTTTTATTTTTATTTATTTATTTGAGACAGGGTTTTGTTACCAAAAGTTTGGTCCTTGTCCCTGATGCCAGTCCAATAATGAGGACAGGGTTTTGAGAAAAAAGAAAAAGAAGTTTTGTTGCTTTGTAGCAAAGGAGAAGCCCAGAGGACTCCTGTCACAGAGGCTGTATTCTGCCCATCAGGGAGAACCAGGGGGCTTTTAAAACAGGTGATGCGAAGGCTACACTCTACTTGTTCTATGTTAGAGTTTTAATTCACCCATATGCACTCAGGCTTCTTAATTTGGTAGTCATTTTGGAGATCTTCAGGTGCCATCCCCAAAGTCTTAATTACTTCCTTCGTGTGGTGGGTGTGTCCTCAAGAACAGGTAATTCTGCCTTGGATGGGGAAGAAAAGTGATCCTGTTTTCCCTGAGATTAGGGGAGAGATTGGGGAGGAGGAGAGAGAGAGGAAGGGATATATGTCCTTTAAAAATTAAGCCACAGTGGCAGAGCAGCGAGGGCTATATTCAAAGCCTAAAATGGACTGCTTTTACAGCCAGCCTTGCTAACTTGCTGAGACTGGCTTTGAATCTGGGATCCTCCTGCCTCAGCTTTGTAAACTGCTGGGATTACAGGTACATGCCACCATGTATGGCCAGGGCATATACTTTGTCTGTGGTGAGGAGAGCTTGCTCTCTCTCTCTGCTTCCTGGTGTCATGTTCTGAATTGCTTTCCTCCACTACACTCTTCCTCCATGATGTTCTGCCTCACTGGGGCCCAGAGCAATGGAGCCTTATGTCTATGGACCGAAACCTCTGAAAACTGTGAGTGCAAAATGTACTTTCTTTTTCTAAAACTCTTCTTGTCAGGTCATTTGGTCAAAGTGGTGAAAAAGCTTACTAAAATAGAAAAATATAAAATGTTTTTTCTGGGGCTGGGGATGTGGCTCAAGCGGTAGCGCACTCGCCTGGCATGCGTGCGGCCCGGGTTCGATCCCCAGCACCACATACCAACAAAGATGTTGTGTCCACCGAGAACTAAAAAAAAAAAATAAAATATAAAAAATAATAATAATAATAATAAAATGTTTTTTCTAAAAAAGAGTAACTACCTGAAATGACAGATATATTGATTAGCTTGATTTTGGTAATCATTGCCAAATATGCCTCAGTAAAACTAGAAGAATATAAAATGATTTTTTCTTGGTACCAGGGATTGAATCCAAGCGTATTTAACTGCTTAGCCACATCTCAGCCCTTTTTAATATTTTATTTATAAATTTGCTGAGTTGCTTAGGGTATCATTAAAATGCTGAGGCTGGCTTTGAACTCGCAATCCCCCTGCCTCAGCCTCTCTAGCTGCTGAGATTACAGGGTTCCCCACCATGTTGGGCAAAAAAAATGATTCTTTTTATACAGGAAGGTAAACCAAACTGGATATAATGGTTCAAAATGCTCAAAAACAAACCATGGAATTTTCAACACCCAAAACTCTGTTAATAAGGGGTTGTCTAAAAATAAGGTTTTCTACTTTAAGCAGGGCTTAAATATAATTGGCATTTGAAATGAATTTAGATGATTGATTTATTGTTAGGTGATTGCATTTTTAAAATGATATTCCTTTTTTAGTCTAATTTTAAAAATACACACATCTAGTGTTTTGCCTAGCATGGTAAGACAGGCCTGGGGTTCAGTCCCAGCACCAGAAACAATACAATACAATTAGTGAGGATTTAGGGAAGACAAGCCCCCTCACCCCTGCTGCTGGGAATATAAATTAGTTCAACCTTAACACAGGGTAATTTGACAATATAAAAATAATACTAACATTTATAAGGAGCTTGCTATTTGCTGAGCACTCTGTGAAGTGATTCATGCTAATTGACTCACTCAATTTTGCTATTCAATTTGCATCATTTATAATAATGAAATGCTCAAGACCCCTAACCCAACAATAGAATCCTGGTTAAATAGAGCATGGAACTTCTATACAATAGGATTGAAATTATCTATATTTATTAACATGGAAAGCTCTATAAAATGTAGTAAGTTTTTTACAAAGGTTATAGAAGAGAATATGTAATATTTTTTTCTGTTGTAATAAAAATAGAACCCAGGGCCTGATTATGCTAGCTGTACCCCAGCCGTTTCTATAACATGAGAAATTATATGAATATGTCTATGTGAGTATGTTTAGTAGCGCTAGTAATATTGTGAATTTTTGTAGAGAAGTCCCTATCTCTTGTAGTTACATATTGAAATGTTTATGGACAAAATTATATGATATCCAGAAAGTGCTTCACAATAATCTGGAAGGGAGGGATGTGGCTGGGGTACAGATATAAGATCGGTTTTGAGTTGATATTGAAATTATAAAAAGTATATGTGGTTTCATTATACTTTTCTTTCTACTTCTGTTTATGTTTGAAAGTCTTCAAAAAAAGTTAGGGTTCAATCCCTGGCATGGAGTAAGTAAATAAATATGAAATTCTAAAAAAGTAAAGAGTGACTACATCCAGATACAGTTGTGCATGCCTATAATACCAGCTGCTTGGGAGACTGAGGCAGGAGGGCCACAGGTTTGAAGCGAGCCTCAGGAATGTAGTGGGCCCTAAGCAACTTAGTGAGACCCCATCTCAAAATAAAAAATAAAATGGGCTGTGGATATGGCTCAGTGGTTAAGTGCCCTTGGGTTCAATCCTTGGTAACAGAGAGAGAGAGAGAGAGAGAGAGAGAGAGAGAGAGAGAGAGAGAGAGAGAGAGTTTTAAATAATGCTTGGCAAGTTCCTGACTTTGTAAACACTTAATATATATTTATTGGAGGGCAAATGGTTTTGCTGTTTTTTTTTTTTTCTGGTATTGGGGATTGAACCCAGGAGGCTTTACCAATCAGCTATATCCCCAGCCCTTTTTTATTTTGAGAGAGGGTGTTGCTAAATTGCTGAGGCTGAGATTGGAATTTGTGATCCACCTGTCTCAGCCTCCCAAGTAGCTGGGATTACAGGTGTGTGGCACCATGCTGGGTTTGTTAATTTAAAACAAGATCTCAGGTGGTAATTGAATAGAAAAATATTTAAAAATGAGATTGCAAGCAATTCATTTAGAGGCCAAAATACGCTAAAAAATAAATAATACTAGCATGCATGAGGTCCTCAGTTAGATCCCCAACAATGCAAAAACACTTCTAATAATAATATTAATAAATTTGTTCAGACAATATATTTTGTTTTTGGAAGATAAACCATTGAGAAACTCTAGACAGAAAAGCTACATGTGTTACTGTTACTTTATTTAGGTAAACACAGAAGATATTTTTAGCCCTCAAAAAAAAAAAGATTTATGCAGAAAATCATCAACCTTAGATTTTCTTCACTATTTATTATTCCAGTGAATGTTTATGGAAAGTTGGTTATTTTCCCAAAGGCCTCTGGACAGATTTGAATGCTTGTGTGCAAGTGAATCAACAATTTGATGACCTCTCGGCTAAATAATGCATGCGCTTCACAGAAATGTATTACCAAAGCAGTGTTGTCAGTTTTCAATGCAATTTTGCCTTACTTTCTCTGCATATGAAGGCAACCAAATTCAAAAGCAACCCTCCCATACAAGATGCAACTTGGTGTGCTTAGGGAAATGTTTAGTGCATGTTAGTGAAATAAACTGTTTATTTTATGCATAATATTCCATTATGAAGATAATTCAACCATTCTCTTAATATTTCCCATTATTTTATTAAAACAATAATGCATTTTCCCTTACACATTTAGTCTTACATGCTGGTTCTTTAATTTTTATGGGAAAGATTACTAGAAGTAGGCTTGCTGGTCAAAAAGTGAATACTTTTTTTTTTTTTTTTTTAAGGTACTGGGAATTGAACTCAGGGGCACTCGGCCACTGAGCCACGTCCACAACCCTATTTTGTATTTTATTTAGAGAGAGGGTCTCACTGAGTTGCTTAGTGCCTCATTTTTGCTGGGGCTGGATTTCCTTTGGTACTGTGAGTTACCCCCCAGCTCCCTTGCTAATTTTTAACTTTTTTGCCATTTGTATTTCTTTCTCTGTGAATGGTCTGTTTTTTTCAGGCTGGCAGTTATCTTATATAATTCCCCATACTTTTAAGATCTTTAATTGATTTCTGTATTAAGGCTATAGATTTTTGTAATGTGAATAACAAATACATTTTTCTGTAAGTGTTTTCCTTGATGTTTGATGTTTAATCACACACATATTTTAAGTTTTGTAATGTTAAGTTGGTCCATTCTTTTTCCTTTTGGATTTCTGTTTTTGATGTCTACCTTTAGAAAGTGTTTTGCCACAGAACATATCTATAGAGTTCAGTGGTGGTTAACGATTTCCTGCCTTAGGTTAGTGCAACCACGTTTTCTCTGAGGTACCCTGCCCCCTGCCCAATCTAGTCAGTGAGTCAAGCATGGTAGCACATGCCTGTAGTCCCAGTGACTTGGGAGGCTGAGTCAGGAAGATCATAAATTGAGGGACCAGTGTCTGCAATTTAGTGAGGCCCTAAGCAACTTAATGAGACCCTGACTCAAAATAAAAAATAAATTAAAAAGGGATGGGGTTGTGGCTGAGTGGTTAAACACCCTGACTTCAATCATCTTTAGTACAAAAAAAAAAATCTAGTCTATGGAGTTCACAACACAAGATGGAATACTATAAGTGTATATGTGAAGGCAATTTATTAACTTCAAATCTATGTTTGAAAGCACAAGATGTGTTACAATTGAATGTTGTCTAACTTCTCCCAAGCCAGAGAGCATTTTGTCTTTTCATACATTCCACTTAGCATTCTAAGGACAGTTACATCTTTACCAGAGCTATTCTTTTGTGAAGTAAAATTGGAGACTGGGGTGAGCTGAATTTAGCCAGAGTTTTGAAATGTCATGTTTTCACTGGAGTGTTTTCTTTTCTTTCTTTAATTTTTTATAGTTGTAGATGGACAACATGCCTCTATTTTTTGTTTATTTTTAAACAAATAAACTGGGTGCTAAGGAATGAACCCAGTGCCTCACTTGTGCTAGGCAAGCACTTTGCCACTGAGCTACAGCCCCAGTGCCTGGAGTGTTTTCTTTTTTCTTTTCTTTTTTTTTTTTTTTTTGCGTGGGGGGTGTACTGGGGATTGAACTCAGGGGCACTTGAACACTGAGCCACATTCCCAGCCCTATTTTGTATTTTATTTAGAGACAGGGTCTCACCGAGTTGCTTAGCACCTCATTGTTGCTGAGGCTGGCTCTGAACTTGTGATGGTTCTGCCTCAATTTCCAATCTGCTGGGATTATAGGCGTGCACCACTGCATCTGGCAAGTGTTTTCTTATATGTGGTTGCACATAGAGACTTGGTCTTGTGGGATTCTGCTTTGTATCTGGGCCATATAGAGTAATACAGACATCATTTTTATAAGGAGAAGGGAGGAAGAAGGTAATGTTTACTAAGAAGTAGGTCCTATACTAGGTACTATCCTTCCTTCCTTTCTTTCTTTTTTTTTTTCCTTTGGTACTAGGAATTGAACCCAAGGATAGTCAACCACTGAGACACATCCTTAGCCATTTTTATATTTTATTTAGAGACAGGGTCTTGCTAAGTTTCTTAGGGCCTCACTAAATTGCTGAGGCTGGCCTTGAATTTTCGATCCTCCTGCTTCAGCCTCCCAAGCCACTGGGATTACAGGCATGTGCCACCATGCCCAGCTAGGTGCTGTCCTTTCAACCCTCCCAATTTAACAATGAAGCAGTGAACAAATTCAGATTTCCTTGAACACTAAACAAGCCTAAGTTTTGGGCCTGTCTCCCTTGCATGAACCCTTTTATGTTCCTGGAAGGGTCCTGAATTGATAGGCTATAAATGTTTGTGAAATTTGTGAAAATAAGTTAGAAATGCAGTTAGTTAGCTAGCCCTCACTCTCTATTCTTTTTTCCCCTCTGTCATTTTCCCCCTCAGGTTGAGTAGTTAGAATGATTCTAGTAGAATGAGAACAGGCATTTCGGGGATCCATCTGAAGAGAAATCAAGTTGCAGATAAATTTACTTCTGGTGAATGAAATATATTAGTGTTGTTTGCTGTCAGTGTTGTGTTAGGAACTACATGGACTACTTCCAAGAAAGTTGTGTGGTCCTCAGAGTTGGAGATTTTGAGAAAATTGAGGCCCCCCCCCCTTTTGCCTCCATTTCCTTCTCCTTAAATCAGTTTCTTTCCCTTTGAATAGCCCTCAGAAAGCTTTTGTTGTGAGAGTCTTGATATTTTAGTTTCCCAGGTGATTGGGGGTTATGGTAATTTTGGTGATAAGTGAGGGGCCACCTGGTAGGGGATGCAATTATGGCTGGGGGAGGTTTTAACATAACAAGCCCCCATCTGCCAGGTGCTCATCTGTCAGATAAGGCTCTCTGTGGTTTTCTGTCACCATTCATTGTCTAGGTGTCTTTTCCCTGCTTACCCATTGATAGCTGACTAGTAGCAATATTTGAAAGTATTGTTTCTTCTTGATGTTTTAAATGTTTGTAGCATTCATCAGTTTTTAAAATTTATAGTGGGCTGGGGATTTAGCTCAGTATTAGAACACTTGCCCAGCATGTCAAGGCCTCTTCTTCAGGTGTCTTGCTATTACCACAAACTTGGTCCTTGTCCCCAATGCCAATCCAATAAGGAGTATACAATTTGGAGAAAGAGTAAAAAGAAGTTCTATTGCTTTGCAGGCAAAGGAGAAACACAGGGGTCTGGTGTCCCAGAGGCTGTGTTTCTGCCCATCAGGGGAAATAGG